TGGCGGTGGCGGCGAGTTGGATGACTCGTCTCCAGTAGGAGTGGGCTGCGCTGATCCACCTTGCGCGACATGATAAGGTAGATCCGTTGTATAACCGACCAAGTTCATGCGTGGCCCTTCAATGCCCACTTCTTGCAGGGAGATCATCAGATTGCAGATGAATTTGTTTCGGCGTTGCAGACGGAGAAGTTCATTTTGCCAGTTGGACTTGTAAAAGAAGACCACATTGAGCGTGATAGAGTAATTCTCGGTTACCTGTCTCAACTCGGTCAAGACCTTGCTCTGATATTCCCTTTTCTCGGAAAGGACAAACTCGAGGAGGCGTTGACGGAGAGCGTCGATTTGTTGGAGAGTGGTGCCGAATTTTATGATGATTGGCACGGCCTCGGCAAGCCCACCGCTGCGGCGCTGGTTGAGGATGAACAGCGTGTTGAGGTAGCTGTTAGGAGCCTGGACGACGTGACCTTCCATCTTCTTGAACTCGGTGTAGAGTAGGGCAATTTCCTTAACAAAATAATCGTCTCCCGTCAAATTGGCTCCGGTGTTGCCGTAGATCGAGATGCGGTCACCAACATCAAAGGGATGTTTCACGAAGACAAAGATGATGCTTTGGAGGAATTCCTGCGCGGTAGCAGAGAAGAGCCAGGAGAGCGCGAGGAGCGTGGACCCAGCTGAGGCGAGCACACCCGCAGCAGAGGTCGAGATGAGAGATAGAAACACTAGAATCGTAATGATCACCACGATGAAAACGAAAACGTCATCCAGCTTGGACACGACGGAGTCGAGATCTTTTAACGACGCCGTGATTGACTTTCGTTCCCTGCCGATCTCGACGCAGACAGCCTCCAGTTCCTCCATCGAGATATCCCCGTTCATGTCTTTGTCGAACATGTTGAAGGCCGCATCGGCTTCGTCGTCATTTTCAAAAGCCGCTTTCAAGTCGCCTGAGAAAACAGTTTGAAATCCCTCTCGAACAAAAGTACGGTACAGTCTGCGGGCAAGGACTTGGCTGCCGCTGGTGGTGTTTAGCAGAGCGAGAACAACCTGGTAGGGATGGTTGCTCTTGTTGACTTTCCTTCCAGTAAAATCACCGGCAACAGCGCCAGCAACGTCGCCAACCTTGTGGAGCGCCTCCCTGGCGACCCTTGTGGCTCTATCGGCGTACATCATGGGAGTTCGAGTGCCAGAGCTTCGCCCATCCTTGGGCTGCTCTTCGAAGTCGCGATCTTCCATGGTGATTTTCTTCTTGGAGAAATCGTAAAGCTTAGTCAAGCTGCCGATCTGGAACTTGTTGAGCTCGATTCGATCCGCATACGTCCTGAGATGGAAGCTGATGGCAATTAGCTGGATGATGATCTTCTCGATGAAATTGAGCGTCGTTCCGACGAAAATAGAAATGATGATTTTGTTAACGACCAGTTCCCAGTGCTTGGTTGCCTTGTTTCCATCGATGTGGTGGTTTTTCATCGTGGGAAGAAAGGAGATTTCCACGGCAAGCCACCAGAAAAACAGGGTCGCCGGAAACTCCAATTGCTTCGCGAGGTCCCTCCATTTCTTCGCGTTGTTAGTGAACACGCCGGCCACAATGCCGACGGGAACGGGGATGCATTTCGCCACGATTCGTCCGGCCCACAGGGTGAGCCAGAAGATCTCTAGCCATACGGCGAACCACATGAGGCTCACACCTCCCACATCGGCGTCCGGGAAGGCGAGGGCGCCGACCAGCAGCGGAATCAGGAGGATCAGGACCAGCGGGGTGATGTAGGTAAAGTAACGGACCAAAAAGCTGGAGTTGTGGACCTTCTTCACGAACCGGGCGAAACTGGTGGTAGGGTTCTCCGGGGGTTTGAAGACGGCACTCTGCTCGTGGAGGGGATTGGTGGCGGCATCAAACTCGTCCACCGGCTCCGCCCGGCGTGACCGGGACCTGTGAACCGACGAAGCGCGTCCTGCCCTTTCGGCCTCACCTTCGGTCCTGGAGACCTGTCGCTCCGCCTGCAGCACCGCGAGATCGTCGTCCAGGCGATGGGCCTCCTCCCGGGTCTTGGACGGGGAACGAAGCCCCGGATCGTGAGGGTTGAGGGACGGATCGACTCCAAGGCGACCATTGTCCCCGCTTGCTTTTTTCTCGCCGACTATCGTCTCGTCGGTCGATGATCGGCCATGTTCGAGACGCCTGTGATCGGCCCCGTAGCTGGGCTCAGGGCCTTCGTAGACGGGTGTTGACATGATTAACTTCTCTGTTCAACTGGCTGTGTGGGCTCAGATCCCACTTTCATAGGTTCTTTCTGAATCAATGCCCGTTGAATGGTTCGCCACCCAAAAAAAAAAAAAAAAAAAAAAAAAAAAAAAGGAAAAGAAAAAAGGCCCCGAAGTGTGTCAGAGTGGTGTTGAAGATCCGGGGGGCCGTTATGATGTATGTAACCGACAGATCGTCGATCTGACGGGGTCCACCAAGAGGAATAGAAGCACGAGCACGATAATTTGAGTGAATGACCAGCTGCACGGTAGATGAAGAACGATTAGTTGTGAGATGGAGCGCTGCTCAACCAGAAGTGGTTCGAATATCAGTGGCGGAACCAGACGATGGGAAACGAAGGTTTTGAAACGGTAGAGACGGAAAAGGTATGGACAGGAAGAGCAGGATTTGAATGGAAACTTATTTACAACAACGACAAAAAAAGAGAGAGAGAGAGACAGAGAAGATTGGAATGAAAGAGTATGAAAAAGGAAGAAATCCAAAGAAGAAGATGAGAAAAAAAAAAAAGAAAAAAGGATGAGAGGAAGAGAAGAAGGACGACAAGGATGAAGAAGCGCACTTCGAACAAGGAGAAGAAGCTTCCATGGCTGGCGAAACAGGTTCCTGCCCGGTCCGGCACGGGTGTGGTGGCTTAAATAAGCATAACGGTGTGTCTTGGCGTATCTTGGCACGAGGGATTTCGCGCTTTCGGTGGAGACGCGGTGGAGGCGTGCGGGTCTGGATCACCGCGCGTCGCGTTAAGAAGAAACATATAAAAATTTAAAAAACCTGTCTGGGAGGCGGCTTGGGCGGAGCATCAAGGAGTGAAACGGGTGCCACAGCGGGCAATCGTCAGCTCAATCTCATCTCGCGGGCCTTCGACGAGTCGGGCGGGGCCGTTTCATTTCCTTCTTCTCTTTCTCCGCCGGACCAAGGTCAAGGTTCTGGTTGTTTTCTCCGAATCGGTCTTGGGAATCCGACCAGCGATTGCAATCTTGACTTGTCAAATGCCACGGCATAATTTGCATTGACGCTGCATCCACATGCAACCTTTTTTTTTTTAACGATTGGTCAATGCGTCGGGAAGGTCTCGTTCTATTCGCTCCGACACGTTGCAGAACACACTTCTTTGACCTACCGAGCCCTTGCCAAGAGATCTTTCAACCCCTGTCCCATCTCGTTGGAGGAGGTGGACTTTGGAAAAAAAAAAAAACCAAAACACGTGCAGCTGATCATACACAGACTGCAGGTATGAAGATCGCCTATCGCCACGAACACACGGCCTCCCCAGTTGCGATAGATCTTTCAGGCTTGGACTTAACGGCTTGTTCGTCACGCCGGGTGGTTGGCAGTTCTCGAGGGAAGGAAGTGCTGGGGACCAGTGGAAGAAGAAGATGCTGGTCCATCCAGGGAATTTTTTTCCCATTCGCGGTGCACAGCACGATCCGTCTCACAGCGGCATCGGCGAATGAAAGGCTCTTGTCTCTCTCTCCTGGCTGGGCAGAATGTTCCACTGCCCTCTGAGACCCTGTTGGGGGGGGTGTGGATAGTGCTGTCTGTCTGCCAGTGTCTTGAGTTCACCGCAGGATCTTTGTAACTCCCTCCCACAACATGCGCTCTGCTGGGCCATTGGCTTTCAGGCAGATGGGCCGGGGGCGCTTCTAATTATATACACCAAAAAAAAAAAAAAAAAAAAAAAAATTGAAAAGAAAGCTTTTTGTCGCCGATACATTTGGTATCCAAGGGTTATTCATAGAATAATCTTCACAGCGTTCTCTACGAGGGTAGGCGTGCTGCAATGTCCCCGGAGGATGACTCGTCCCTTTGCTCATCACGGGGTTCCCTTTGGCCGTCGCCAGAACGAACTTACCGTCACCGAAGGCTCGTTTTTGTCAAGGGAAATGTTATATGTTTGGTGTATTTTGACAGTCGTCCGGTTGACAACTGGGGAGAAGAAAAAAATGTCACCTCCATCTGAGATGGACGTACTACAGTAAAGCACAAAAAGGAGGCCGCCCGGTAAAATATCCGATTGCTGCGCCGATGTAATCCCAAGATGGCATCACCTATATAATCCTTCGATGGCACGAAATATGAACGTGATATGTACTCCCGTATTGCAGTCTCGGACACACACCTGGCGGCGTTGTTATACCCGATCGAACTCCCGTAGAAATCTCGCAGACGTTGTGGTATGAGAGGTGGCCCTGAACACAGTTCGCTCTTCAAGTGGACGCTGGATCGACTTTCCAGGGAGCTCGGGGGGTTGTTGGCGTTGGAGGGGAAACCGTTTCTGTATTGGGGCACTCGAGCCCTATATATATATATATATCCCCTTTCGGGAAACGGCGTGGCTGCGAGGGTGAGAAGCGTGCTGCAGGCCGTAAGGGGAAGTTTGTCAACAATGCGGGCCCTCCAGCGCTCAAGTTGGAAAAGACAGCGTCGACTTCCCTCGAGCAGAAGGCGCGATCGCCAGCCAGTTGTGAAAGCCTTTTTTTGCTTGTTTTGGTAGCAAGAAAAAAGAGTGGGAGCAAAAAAAAGGGGGGAAGGAGCTAGTGGACGGCGGCGGATGCTGATTGGCGGGGGGGATCCTTGTTTACGGGGGTTGTGTTGACACCATTCCTGATCGGGCATTAGCACGCACACGTCGAGGGAAAGAGCACGGTTCCAGCGCCAAAACAACAACATTTCCTTCCTGAAACCCTCTCGCTCTCTCCCTCTCTCCCTCTCGCTCGCTCGCTCCTCGCCTCTTTCTTCTTCTCCCTCTTTCCTCTCCTTCCCCTCGCCGCCTGCCCATCCGCGTTGCTTCCCGCAAGTTCGCTCTCCACCGCCCAGTCTCGTGTCTTTCTCTCGATCATCTCTCATCTCGATCTCTGTTTCTCTCTTTCGCTGCTCGTCCGTCGCCACGCTTTCTGCCTCCCTGTCAACGCGATCCAATTCATCACACCATGAGAGGCGAGGTGAGTCGGCTTCCATGTTCTTCTGCACCCCCATCCCTGATGCGACCGTGCTCTGCTATTCTTCTCCCCCTCCCTCCCTCCCCTCCCTGCCCCCCAAAAAAAAAAAAAAGAATAATCCACACCAACCTTGCCAGTATCCCCAATGCTAACCATTTATTTTATTTTTTTTTTTTCCTTCTTATTTAGGTCTGCCATATTCATATCGGCCAGGCTGGCACCCAGCTCGGTAACAGTGCTTGGGAATTGTCCGTTGAACCTATCCCACTACCCTTTCACCGCTCTTTCGCCCCAACATCCTCCTCTGCGTCTCTCCACCCATTGGCTGACCATGTCTCGCTAATAATTTTCTTTTTTTTTCGCTTTGGTTGCTTTTAGGTACCTGCTCGAACATGGATTGAAGGCTGATGGTCGCCCTGACCCTGAGGCCAGCGACATTGGCGAAGCCGGCTCCTTCGGAACCTTCTTCACTGAGACCGGAAGCGGTAAATATGTCCCACGATCTATCTTCGTCGACCTGGATCCATCTGTGCGTCACCCGCAAAAATGTTTCTTGTTCTTTTTTTTTTTTTTTGAAATGCTTTCCATTGAAGGAATAAAGAATAACTTATCGTCGTCTTAGCCCATCGATGAGATCCGCACTGGCCAATACCGACAGCTCTTCCACCCTGAGATGTTGATCAGTGGAAAGGAGGATGCTGCTAACAACTGTACGCTCCAATGGCCCTGCTCTGGCGTGGAGATAAGGAAAATGGGCTAATTCGGGTATTAGATGCTCGTGGCCACTACACAATTGGAAAGGAACTGGTTGAGAGCGTCATCGATCGCATTCGTCGCGTTGCCGGTAACGAACACCCCTTTGTTTGCTTTTCTCTTTCTTTTTTGGAATGTTATCTCTGGACAGCTTGCTGATCGTTCGCCTCCCCGATAATAGACAACTGCTCGTCCCTTCAAGGTTTCTTGATCTTCCACTCCTTTGGCGGTGGTACCGGTTCTGGTTTCGGTGCTCTCCTTTTGGAGCGCCTTTCCACCGACTATGGCAAGAAGTCCAAGCTTGAATTTGCTGTCTACCCGGCTCCTCGTCTCTCCACTGCCGTCGTCGAGCCATACAACGCCGTCCTCTCTACGCACAGCACAATCGAAAACTCTGACTGCACCTTCCTTGTCGACAACGAGGCCGTCTACGATATCTGCCACCGCAACCTAGACATTCCTCGCCCCGGTTACGAGCACCTTAACCGTCTCATCGCCCAGGTTGTCAGCTCCATCACCTCTAGCTTGCGTTTCGACGGTGCTTTGAACGTCGATTTGAATGAATTCCAAACCAACTTGGTGCCGTATCCTCGTATTCACTACCCTCTGATCAGCTATGCTCCAGTTGTCTCCAGCAACCGCAGCTCTCACGAGAGCTTCAAGGTTCATGACTTGACCTTCCAATGTAGATGACCCTCCCTCTTCTTCCCCCAGCCTCTTTGGTCTGATTGCTAACTCCCACTTTCCCTCTAGGCTTCGAGCCCAACAACCAAATGGTCGTCTGCGATCCCCGCAACGGAAAGTACATGGCTGTTGCCCTCCTCTACCGTGGTGATGTCGTGCCCCGCGACTGCAATGCTGCTATTGCTTCGCTCAAGGCCAAGACATCGTTCAACTTGGTTGAATGGTGCCCAACTGGATTCAAGCTTGGCATCAACTTCCAGAAACCAATGCGCGTTCCCGGAGGCGAGCTCGCCCCTGTTGACCGCTCCGTCAGCATGCTTTCCAACACAACTGCTATCGCCGAAGCCTGGAGCCGTCTTGACCACAAGTTCGACCTCATGTACTCCAAGCGTGCTTTCGTTCATTGGTACGTTGGTGAGGGTATGGAAGAAGGTGAATTCTCTGAGGCCCGTGAAGACCTTGCTGCCTTGGAGAAGGACTACGAGGAAGTCGCCAGCGACAGCTTGGAGGCTGAGGTTGACGATGGCGTTGAGTACTAAGCATGATCATGATAACCCACTTTGTCCGTCTCTTGTTTGGGAGCCCGCCTTTTTACTCCAGAATACTTTGATTTTTTGCTTTGTCAGAGACGATAAAGTTGATATCCAGTACAAACATTTGATAATTTCACCTTGATGAAAAAGCAATCCGTACGTAATTTTAATACTCTGCGGTTCGTCGATTTATGCGGGAGAAAATAAATTTACAAATTACAATTGGCCATTTGTTCCAGGTGAGTATGCTACTGAAGTTGTGAAAGATGTTACCCAAAAATTTTACCGGTCAATTGTGTCAACAGCATGGCTACCCGTAGCATTCTTGTCTATATACGGAGTTTTCCCCCCATATCATAAAGTCTATTACGTAGAAATAAATATTCGTCCGGAATTTATACAGGAAATAACGGCTGTACAACATATCGAACCACTACTGTATAGCTTCCTGGTTCATCTCCTTCAATATTTTTAAGACCCTCTCGTACGTCCACATCGTCACGGCGCTTGCGGGGGCGGCTTTTATCAAACTCACCGTCAACCCGCGATATAGGCCCCTCACACCGCCATCACGCAGGACCATCTTCATCGTGCTCAACACCCCGTTGTACTCAGGGATATTCTGATGTATGTACCTCGAGCGCGTCGGGCCCTGGACCTGCAGGCGCTTCCGGACGAGATCGAGGGGGAACACTCCTGTCTTCGCGATGACGCTGGCGATCACACCCGCGGTGGCGTCGCCGGAGCCGAAGGGCAGATGGAGCGCGGAGATGGGCACGCGCACGCTCTCGTACGTGGCGAAGAAGAGGCCCATGTAGGGGACGATCTGGGCGACGGCTGCGCTGACGCCGCGGAAGAAGCCGCGCGAGCCTTCGTGCGCGTGGATGGTGCGGATGGCGGTGAGAAGGGACGGGTAGATCTTGTCGTTGCCCTGGGCGGCGAAGCGGGTGCGGAGAAGGTCGAAGGGGTAGGTTGCGAAGGTGCCGATGCCGCCGGCGGTGGCGCCAGAGACAAATGATTCGGCGGGTTGGGGGAGGCGGTATGGGGGTGGAAGTGTGTGCAGGGATTGCGTGACGGTGCGGTAGGTTGTGAATTGGATGGCGCCGTAGAAGATGTAGAGGAGTTCGGCGGGGATGTTGCCTTTCCAGAGGCCCTGGGAGATGTTAGCCATGAGCCTTTTTTTTTTTTTTTTTTTTTTTTTGTCCTTCGTTTTATCGGAGGTTGGTGGACGCACTGTGATGCCTTCTTCTCGGACTATGGCTTTTAGGGTCGATATGGTGCCTTTGTACACGGGGCCGCGGATGTTTTTGTGGGAGAGAGGGTCGGAGAGGGAGTGTATTTGTAACTGGAGTCGGATTTTCACGACATCGAGAGGAGCGACGCAGAATCTAAGCGCATCGAAATAGTTAGAAACGATAGTTTCCTCTTTTATAATATATATATATATATATATATATATATATAGATATATGTGTGTGTGTGTGTGTCTTCAAGGAGGGAAACGATGTTGTTCTTACCGCGAGACCATTCCCGCGATTGCGCCGGCGGCGACAACCTGGTACCGTTGACCCTGTTGAACAACAGTTAGCTGTGTTTTTGGACATTATTCCTATAAATTGGAGGAATCGCACTTCATCTTTGAGATGCTCGCCACCCGCCGACATTCATTAATGAAGCAGAGGGATCTGATCTGGACAGATCGTTGTGGTGGTTGAGCGCAGGCTGAATGCAAGAAATAAAACAAAAGCCCAAAAACAATTATTGATCAGCCAGAATATCTCAAGTCCTTATACCTGGACATGTGTATACGTAAAGGAAAGGAGTGAAGACTGGAGAGAATGAAAGAAAGGAATTAGAGAGCAGGCGGCATTCTCGCAAGTTGGTTGTTTGTTGGCGAAATAATTTGCGAAAATCGCCAAATTTTGTTGAGAGCAGGATGATGTAATAACCATCCCTGTTCCACCTAACTAACTAATCCTTCAACCACGGCATTTATTGAATAAGTTTGGCGATAGAATTTATACTCTGTTTCTATAGCTAAGGCTCTATTATTACAGTGCAAATGAATTGATTGGTTTTGCAATTTTCGATGCACGTCCTCTTAAGGCGGCCCCCGATCGATCCGAACTTAAGGGGGGGAGATTATCAGCGGCCACCCAAGCAGAGGAGCCTCCCACCTCTTCTGACGCGTCTATTTCATCGTCTTAAGATAAATCTGTTTTGCCAGTGGATATATGTGCCGAGTTTCCACCATAGATCCAACGCTGTCTCTTCCCCGTCCACACACCGACCTTTTGGTGAAAATTCCTCCCAGTAATACCTCTGCATCCTGACAAGATCGAGTGGTGTGAGGTCGAGCTTGGAGGCTCTGACGTGCAGGTCTGCACCCAGAGAGCAGAGTAGCTGGATCACAGCCAGATGACCGTTCCCGCGTAGGGTCTCGGAATCCGAATCGAAGTCCAGATCCAGCGACTTATGCCTGCGGATAATCGCCAGTTCAACCATCTTCACGTACTCTTCTTGCTCCTTATATTTTCTCCAACCTCGATAGATCGCCACATGCAATGGTGTGTTTTGTTTACGGTTGCAGGGAGAGATCTCTGCTCCGCGTCGGATCAGCTCCCTTGCAACCGGGAAATATCCTCTTTTTGCCGCGTGGTGTAACGGTCGCCTTCCTTTTTCATCCTCAGCCGAGACATCGGTGTCCGCTTCGATGAGGACCAACGCCGATTCGGGATCCTGGTTGCGGAGGGCATCTAGGAGAGCTGTTCCCCCGTTCTCCGCCGTGTGGCATACATCAGCTCCGGCATTCACGAGGTATTGGGTCACTGCCACGTCTAGTGGGTGACGCTCCTTGTGGAATGTGCCCTGCAAGGCGGTATTGCCCTGTAGATCTACAGCGAAAATGTCGACGCCGGCCTCGACGAGTAGCCGCACGCAAGTTAATTTCGAATCAGATGAAGATGAGGTAGCATAGTGCAGGGCTGTGCGGCCAGTGTCACTCCGTGTGAATACTTGCCATCTTTGCTTCTTCAGAATCGCCCTTAGGACAGGTTCATGGCCGTGCTGGGCGGCGTAGTGAATAGCACGCTGACGAAGAAGGGTGTCGCCGAAAACTTGCTCTTGTGGACCTACTTCCAGCAACAGCAATATAAGAGGTATTATCTCCGAGTTCTTCTCGGCATCGCATAATCCGTACACTCGGTCTACAGCCGGCCCGCCGGCTGCGACGATAGTTGCAAGGTTGGGTGCCTCGTTCAAGAGCGTTTTAGCCGCACCCATGCTCCAAACGCTATAGAGGGCAGTGGTGCCATCCTGCAGACGGCCTCTAACGTCCACCCCAGCGTCAATAAGTAATCGTATCATCGCCAAATTGTTTATTCCACAAGCTTCACCCAAGGCGTCTGGAGTGGCTTTAGCGCCTGCATCAAGGAGGTACTGAACTAAATCGACATTGCCCGTTTTAGCGGCGCCTGGAAGAGCTGCTGTGAGACATGGCTCTGGGAAATAGGACGAAGACGCTTCGAGAAGCTCTTTTACGATCTGCAGCCGTCCGTACGTGACAGCATGAGAAAGAGGGTTGTTGGGACCGGGAGGAAGCTTTATATTTCCTCCGCCCGCCTTGACGAGCATTTTTGCCGCTTCCAGAAACCCATACTGGAAAGCATAGGACAAGGGGGTATTGCAGCTGCCGTGCAATGCTCGAACGTCAGCGCCGCCATCGATAAGAAATTTTATGATGGACGTCTGATTTAGGAGGACAGATTGGTGGAGCGCGGTAAACCCCCGGTCATTGTGCACCTCGGTGTCGACATCGTTGTCGAGAACAAGCTTGACCATCCTCTCGTTTCCAAGAGAACACACCGCTTGAAGAATCGTGATATTCCTGACGCCCTTAGGAGCCATTACCCGATGCGGCGCTCTGGAATCGTACACCGGGTATTGATCTAGCTTGATAATTGGGGGATTGATATCATTTGTCAGATATAGCAAAGCTTCAAAAGAAGCCAGTTGGTCAAAGCAAGCGGCTTGAATCAGCGACACAGGCTGGCCGTGATACATTTCTTTGTCCCTGAGGACTGCTTCGCGGTAGAACTCATCCTTTAGGAGTAGCGAAAGCCTTTTGGAGGTTCTGAGGAGGTTGGCTATATCATTCAGAGAGAGCTCCTTTGCGACGATGATGAGAAGCTCTAAGGGAAGGAGTTCTAAGGAGCCCATTGCCATCCGATGGCACAAAACGCGTGCTATCCTACCGACATTAGCGCTTTACGTCTGGGCCAATGACAAGGAGACCTACAGGGCCAGTAAAGCGGCCTTTCCCTTCTCGAAAAAATTTGCTACAATCGACCGAGATAAACTTGGTATATGTCGAACTGTGAGCTCTTAATGACAGCAAACTGAGCTGCTTGATGTCCCGTCTGTCTGGTCTGGCTGGGATGAAGTCCACTCTTAAATGGGGCACGAGACCGAAATGGCAAATCGGCACCGATACCGGTTCCGACTCGCTGGCGAAGCTCCACCGGGATCCATCCTGCCGGGACACGCGCCAAGAACCTGTGCCGCCCCGTATCCACCAATCACAGAACATGTTGGGCATCGCAAACAGCGCAAACAGCAACAAACGCCTCGCGCAAACCAAGCAAACACGAAAATAACCGCAGGCTGGCAGCAACAGAACATTTCTGGAAAAACTTTGAAGGACAGGCGGTGCAAATTCAGTCCAAAGGATCCTGGTTATTTCCTTGTTTTCAGACTGGTTTAAAGTAAAGGCAAAACAAAAGTTCGGGCAGCATCCCTGGGAAACAACATGCGACTGATGAGGAACTTGTCCCTATCTCACCCCTGCGGTCTCACCGAAGCTGATCAGCCCAGGAGTGGAGTCCAACCCCAGAGTACCAGACCCACCGATTCCTCCCGACCTCTGCAATTCATGATATCCGTGATATTTTCTTGAGCATATTTTCGCCCTGGCTTGCAAAACAGGATTTCCCATCAATCAGCTTCTGCCGACATTGGAAGATTTGACTTTTTCCCCCGGTCGAATGGACGTGCGTCACTTTGACTCAGCAACGGGCGATTGTAGCAACCTTAGGATTTTGCCCCTGAAAAATCTTTAACCTTCGCCACCATTCCCAAGGACTTGGGAGTAGGGCATACCAAAGTGCGGGATGGGAATCCCCGCAAAGATCCCTAGCTTGAGTGGCTTTCAAAGTTAATTAAAAAGGTCTGACGGCGGAAGGTATAAATGCATAACGGATGTGTTCAATCAATGGAACTCCAATCAGAGACGACCGTGGCTGTTTCATCGCTGGAGCATCGCAAGAGGTTCCCCCCCTCCAAAAGGATGCTTTGACAATCGCATTCAACCGTCATTGGCCTTCTACTCAAATGAATTTTAGACCTAGGCGTTCCACTTCCCGGGGGATTCCAGTCCCAAGTATTATTCCCGAGGCCTACAAGCAAGTTCACTGCGCCCAGGATTGAAGTCTGCCCCATTGCCATGCTTGAAGTTGGACTTGGTCAGTAGTGCGATTCTCCTTTGCTCATCGCCACGGCAGAACCACACAGAGAGCAGCCGATTGTCGTAGCCGTGTGGCTATAGAATATACTCTGCTTCTCCCCTGGGCCTGCTGGCGCCACAAACTAGACGGCAAGCGATGACCCCATTTCGTAATGCGCTGCTTTCGAGGCTAGTGGCTGGTTACCAATTACGTTTGATGTTTTCGCATAGGATTTTCCATAAACTTTGACAGGTAGGTCGTTGAAGGCGGATATCAGCCGCCCTCACTCTCTTGTCTCCGCTACTTGGTTATTTGGCCTTTTTTCTGTGCGCTTGCTGTAAGGGTCGAGCTTGGCGACGTTGCAATCACCTAACAACAGCTTGCAGACTGGAAATACAGATAGAGCTGCTGTAATAACCGGCGCGATGCGTGCCCCGATCTCAGCGACGCCAACACGAAACGCAACATTGATGTATCCCTTCGGGGCGATGTCATTGAAATTCCTCTCGCCTCGAAAGAATGTATGCACTTGTAACTTATACCTAATAACACAGCAGTTTTTGCTTCAACGAGTTTATCTGCTCCCGGATTCCCGCGATGAAACCCTGCATCTTGGCTCTCCGCAAGAGCGAGATTCGCACAAATGGCCCAGGTTATGACGGGTGTGACGTCGCCGCAGCCTCATTTGTACATAAGTAGCCAACTAAGCCCAAAGAGGCTTAGCTCCCATATTTGCCTCGGCATTCAGCGAGGGGCTGCTTGTGAGTGTGAAAAGTTGCAATGAGGGGCTGCGACGAGACTCGAGACTTCAACAGTCGATGACAGGCACGCTTTTCCTGCATTCGTCGTCGCAATGTCGCCGCATTTTCAGGCCTTCCGCCTTCTTCAAACGCTATCTTCCAGGAGATGCGGGCCGATTTTCTCCTCCAGCAGAGGAACGCTTTCTTTTCGTCCGTACTCTACCGTGAACGAGAGTACTTCGTTACCTAATGGACGCTCTGTTCCTCCTATGTTCAAGTATATGGAAGCGCAGGCTGGTGAAGGAAGTCCGGCCAAGTACAGCCGTTTGTTCATTCAAGCCGATGGCTCCTGGCTCCAATTCAATTGCATGCGTTTACGAGATGCATGTACCTGCTCCCAATGCGTTGACCCATCCACTAAGCAACGCAACTTCTTGACGTCGGACCTTTCCCCAGATGTGAAACCAAAAGATTTAAGGATGGAGGGCGACAAGGTGACCGTAACATGGACGGGCAGTCTCGCTAACCCCGAAGAAGAGCACGTTTCGACGTACAGCACAAAACAGCTCCGGAATCTAAATACCCCTCGACCTGCGCGTCACTACCGCGGTGGACCGACAAAAATTGTGTGGGACAAGGCAACGTTTGAGAAAAATCAACACTGGATCTCCTTTGATGAATATATGAACGATGACGTGAAGTTCGGGTTAGTCATGCGCAGTTTGTACAGATATGGCCTGGCCTTCGTCAAAAACGTTCCTGAGTCAACCGAGAGCGTGTCTCAGATTGCGACGAGGATGGGACCGTTACGCAATTCGTTTTACGGCCTCACCTGGGACGTTCGCAGTGTACCAGAAGCCAAAAACGTAGCCTACACAAATAAATTCCTTGGATTTCATATGGATCTTCTGTACATGGCCGATCCCCCTGCTTATCAATTGCTGCATTGCATGAACAATTCCCTTCCTGGCGGAGAGTCCATGTTTGTAGATACTTTCCGTGCGGCACAACGTTTATCGGAAGACGATAGAAAGACGCTGTCTGATGTTGCGCTTCACTACGGCTACTTTAATGACGGCCAAAGTTACGAATATAGCCGCCCGACGATCCAGCTGGATAAATCCGGAGGTTTAGAGTATGTGAATTATTCACCGCCATTCCAGGCTCCGCACTTCACACCGGCTGATTACCCAATGCAACAACTGGCCGAATCCTTACGCAAGTTCTCAGACCTCCTGCAAGATCCAGAAGGCATGTTTGAATTGAAGTTGCGGCCAGGAGAATGTGTTATTTTTGCAAATAGACGTGTGGCTCATGCCCGAAGGGCATTTGATTTGTCACAGAGTGATGGCCGGAAGCGTTCTCGCTGGCTACGTGGTGCATACGTGGATGAGGATGCTCTACTGTCAAAGTTTGATATCTTTCGTGCCAAAAACCTTCAAGAGTGGGATGTCGCCACGTCAGACCAGGGTGTGCAACCAGCAATCAACATAAAATAGTATCTACGCAACCGGGGATGAATATAAAATTACGATGCTGGCGTTTTTGGGGGATAGAGAAGGGAAGATCAGCGCGACGCAAAGTCGCGGAGCCAGGAACGAATAGTTACGTCTTCGATACAATGAATTCGCCCAGAATCATAACTATACAAAAGATTTTGGGATTTAACGGCTGAGTTGTGGGCAAAGATGCAGTTGGCACTTGGCCCTTATATTTATGAGATTTGGAAAATCACCTCTCCCGTCATTAGCCAGGCTATGAAGAAATTTGCTTGGTTTGGTCTGACAAGCTTGGGGCCTATTTTTTGCCACAAATTAAGTTGTATAGAATTTATACGGGCAAGACATTCCTTGATTCCCAATCAACCCTTGCACCGTTTCCTTTTTTGGTTTTAGGATCCCTTGTACTCCATATTTGCTAGAGTAATAGGGTTCTGCCCTGTACGCGGAAACATATTTCCTTCTTATAAACTACAGGCATATAATTGGTTCGATGAGCTGTTTCGTATAATAATTGCCACTTTGTACTGATTTTGTGCACTTTCTTTCGAGCACTCGATCAAGATTATATGTCCAAATCCAGTTTTCATTTTTTTAATTTTAACATTAACAGAAGCTGAAGAACAGTTAAACATCTAAGAAGCACCTAACCGTGCAGATTAATGCACGGATTGGCCAAAGCTAAGTGGTATGCACACAATATTGAACAGGACAATTCATATCATTTCACAGGAGGGTCATTTGGAGTACGGAAGCCGGGGCGAAAACAACAAAGGGTCGGAATATTGATGGCGTCCAAGTTTCAAGCTGAGGGCGCGCTTGTAGGTTTAGAGACCGAATAGTCGCAGAAAAAATCAGGGTTCGCGGAGATCTCTTCTTTCACCTGTATAACATTCTCAGTTAGCATACTGAAAATCCCAGGAAAGAGGAACAAGCATAACAACTGATGGCCAACTCACAATGTCCAATCCGCCAACCAGCTCCCCCTTGACCCAGAGCTGCGGGAAAGTCGGCCAGTCCGCAAACTCTTTCAACCCCTGCCGAACGTCCTCATCCGCCAGAATATTAAAGAATCCATATTTCACCCCGTTCTCGCGCAGAATGCTCACAATCTGCCTACTGAATCCACACTGTGGGGCGCTGGGAGTCCCTTTCATGAATAACATAACCGGGGCGGCTTTTACAAGCTCTGAAAGGCGCGCAAAGAGCTCTTCTTTCGTGGGCACGGGAGGCTCTAACTGCGCGTCTGAAGCAGTAGCGTCGTCGGATGTATCCTGCGCCGCTGTCGCTCTCGGTACTGCGACCAGAGGTGGCGGAATGGAAGGTCGATCTGTCTGCCCGTCTTGCCCCACATGGTTCTCGATCGCCTCCCGGACCCTGACTGGATCGGAGCCGGACACAGTCTCAACGATCTTGTTGTCTCGAAGCAGAACTAGGTATGGCACAGCGGATACGTCGTATTGCTCTGAGATGTCGGGGAGGTCTTCGGCGTTGATGCTCAAGAAGCGAATGGATGGAGGGGTAGTGGCGGGGTAGGTGGAGGCGAGGGTGGACAGTACGTTGCGCATTTGCGTGCATGGCGCAGCCCAGGGAGTGTGAAATGAGAGGACAGCTAGAGATGTGGATGGGAGGGAAGACAGTTGCGTCGTAAAGTCCGCTTCGGAAGTGATTTCGTGAAGGGTGGACATGGCTGCGGTTCGATTGCCGCGGAGAAGTTGGATGGTAGTAAAGGTTCCGGCTGAGTGTCTGCGAGATTACGAGCAGCTTAAAAAAAGCAAAAAGAAAGAAAACCCGCTGGGGTATTGCGTCTCTCAGCCACCTACGGGGAAGATGGGGGGATTGATGCTGGTTTGAATGTCGGCGGGATGGCGGCTCAGCGATGGAATCTTTTGCGGGCGGAATTGCGTTATCTGATTCGATGACTAACCGGTTGAAGCAGCGCGACGGGGATCTGATAATTTTCGGGTGATAATTATTCCGGTCATCGCCACAGCTGATATGGATAAGTCTCGGAGTCATTAAATAATTGGTTATGGAAAGTCGCTGAGACTGCTTGAAAGGTATATGTATAAATTGAACATGATCATAACTGGGGAGAGATATCGGAAGAGGTCATTACACTAATAACGCGCCTGCTCGTGTGGCGGACATGGCTCCACAACGCCCTTCAATGCAAAGGAATAAGCTCTTTGGGGACTACCAAAACCGTGGGCCAAAAGTCTCCCCTGGTGGCACTGGGTCGATGATTGCTGTCCCCATTTGATCCATTGTCTTCAGTGCAGCTGTGTTCCCCCACCAGCTCGGAAAGCTGATGTTTGGCAACTGAAGGGTCGTTATAATGACAATGGTACAGATTGCCAGACCGGTATCAAGCGCAGCGGACGTGATATAATTGAATCGCATCCACCATCCTGTGAACCGATAGCGGATGTATTTCTGAAATCCGAAGCCAACAATACCCCATGCAAGCTATTTCAGGCTCGGTTAGCGACGGTTACATGAAAACCAGCACATTAAGTTCAGTACTCACATAGTTTAAAGGCGTGGCCGGTGGGAGCATGAGAGTGCCGCCAAATAAAATGGGCGTGTTGACGAATCTTACTTTGGATCGCGGGAACATTCGGGCAAGGATGTAGAAAAATATAGGAGCAAGTGCACCCGCTACCCAGAAATACTGGAGACCAGCATACATTGCCTTGCCAGAGAATATTCGTGCTGGTCCAATTAAACCCCACAAGACCGATGACGCAAAGAACACTCTGCCGCCAGGGCATATGAACCGGTTAGGCTGGTCTCGTTCGCAAACACCCTCAATGTTACCCAAACCCCAAATTATAACGGCGAGTTGGACAAAGCAGGACCAGAAAGTTGCAATAACCTGTGCCCAGAAGAGTGAGCGAGGCCTGATTTTGAGATAATGTCCGATCTTTAAATCCTGAATAAAGGAGAGGGCCTGTGCCATGGTGATGTATCCATAGGTTTTAAAAAGCATCATCCCAAGCGGCCGGCCGGGGAGCATGTATCCGATGATATACTCCGTAAAGACGTTTAATCCGATTTGAATGTTAGTTGAGCCTTGCACGATGCCTATGGGTACCGTCCAAATGATTGCAATCAGGAGAGCAATCATAAGGGCCCACCAGGGTAAGTGTGTAGGCCAAGCGAGGCAAGTTATGAAGCACAGAGCGAGACAGCCGCCGAGAAGCGCCAGATACCACCAGGTTGGAACCTGTTCGTATTTCCGCATCATTCGAGTATGAACATCATCCAAATCTCCACGGGCATCCCTAGCCCTGATCCAGATTTGCTGTCCATGGAAAAGAGCTGTGTGCACGATCAACGCGGCAATCGCAGCAAAGTGCAGCCCGTATGTAAGAGCCATTGTTGTTGGGAGGAAAATTGGCGAATATTCCTGAAAAGCCAGTTAGATAGACGAGATCTCGCAATGAAAGAATGGCTCACCTTGTATTTTTGCACGTCAAAAGTGTTATTCGCGGATAAAACCATGGAAACATTATAGAGGTGGCCCCTGTTATCATATATGCTAGAGTCATGTATGGGTATATGCCGCCCATACCAATAGTTGGTGTAGTGGATGATGGGAGCGACGATGAGGTAGGTGACAGTTGTTCCAATCAACGTATTCCCGATTGCGTGCCATGGTGGAATCAGTGGACTTCCAACGTATCCTGCATTGCGAGTCAGATTCGATTCAGCAACCCACTCAATTTTCTTATTTTTTCCTTTCGTTCTTTTCTTTTCTTTTCTCTTTTCTCTTTTTTTCTTTTTTGACTTACCTGCAATTTGACTCCAGTCAAAAGTAATAGGAAAGAGTGAAATTCCAGTCCAGCCTCCAAATAGCTGATTTACAAGGGGATCGTTCGGTTTGATCCATGTGACAAAGGCAAATACACTTAAAAACGGTGCAATAAACCCGGGAAACCAGTACCACACGAAAGCGCCTGTAAAGATATACAGGAAATATCGGTATCGGGAAATTTGCCAGCCGTTTGTTGTAGCTGGATTCGGCGGAGTATCGTCATGTAGAGTATAAAGAAAGGATGTGGTGACAAGGGTTTGCGGCCATATCATAGATCCTGAGGCTGTAAGTTAGCTATACTCAATGCCTATAAAAATGTATTCGTCAAGCCAGAATAAATAGGGTACGATACTCTTGGACGGACTGGCGAAATGGATTTCAAGGTATTCAACCTACCTGGTTCGACGAGAATGCGGCGAAGGAGACCCGCAATGCCGAATCCAACCATCTGGGTGCTGATTGCAAGACATATATTCCATAACCAGCCTGAATGGATTCACACTAGGGTTAGCCAACGAAGTGAATTCAGAGAAAAATATTTCATACCAAAATCCGCATTGTAGAATGCGATCTGTACTTGAACCGTGTCAGTGAAGTACGCGACCCCATTTCCGATCGATGCATTCGCCATGATTACAATCAAAGCGTGTTCTTTAAGATTGAACGGCCCAGGATTAAGATCCCATTCGGATCCAAAAATATTAATCTTTCTATTCGGGATCACTTTCGTCCATCCTAAGCCGAGTGGATGGGCGAGAAGCAGTGCCACCATGGAGCTGACGACGATAGAAGGCGCGCGGAGCGAAAATAGAGAATTGAGCCCAGCTCCAACTGTTGTAAGAAAGAGACCAATTGTCCATGCGCGGATAGTATCCACGGGGAGATCTTCGTCAGTGTTTCGCACGGCGGCTCGAACCTGGATCAATATCAAAATCGCGTTGGCGAACCGTCTCCATACATCAGGTCGGGAAAAGTGGAAGGACAAACCTCTGGATATGGCGAGTTTTCTAGAACACGTCGGACCATCCGCTTGTTCGTAGGACTTCCATCGTAGCTATTCGCCGCATCTTTCACTTCATCGAGGTATTCGTCTTCAAGGTTTGGATCCCATCGATGGACACGATGATATAAATGCAATTTACGATTCGCCTCTACATGGGAATCATCCTCTCCTGAAGGCGCCAATCCTATCTTTTCGGATCCCTTTCGACGTTGCCTAAGTGCGAGCGGAAACGCGTCGTAAGAGATCCAGTCCTTCACTCTCTGCAGATATGTCATGGTGAAAAGGTGAACATCGGCCGTGATTTGGAGTTCGATAGCCCAAAAGAAGTTTGGGTATTAGAACAGAGCAGAATTTAGCAAGAGGTGGTAAAGGATAGCTAGTTGAATGTTCAAATAAGGTTCCTCGATTGATGTGAGATTATCTGCCCTCTGGATACATAACAGAGAGGGCCGGGTTTCCGGCAAGAAAATGCAAGTTATGGGACTAATGAAGAAGTTTCTTCGTTAGTTATCCCAAGCAGCGGAAGTTATACGCTATGAAAGGACATGTCTGAAGCCTTTGCCATGCATAGCTGCTGTTGAGTAGGGGAAAGGAAAAAGTGCATCATCACAAGTGCGGCGGTCTCGATAGATTTTAGTCCATTTCAAAGGTCGAATGCCCAGACCTCCAACTAACACCAGTTGCATGATTAGGGGTGAGGTTAACCAGGGTTATACCGAATGGAAACGAAGGCCACAGCGGTCACGTCGGGCCACTTCGATGGGCTCGCTAACTTAATTAGGACGCGACCATAATGAAAGAGGAAGGACGATCAATGCTCAATGATGAAAGCGCATCACCTCCGCACTCGAAGGCATCCAGAAGAGGCGCATCGAAGGTTTGCTGCCAGGATGACATGCCGCAAGGCCTCGTGTCTCGGCACACCCGCATTTGGGCGCTGGTTACTCGATGAGTCGGCGGTTTCTACTCAAAGTAAGCCAAGCTAACCAACGTCGATCTCCCTAAAGAAACGGTAGACAAAGAAGTATTTCCGTCTCAGTGATAGGATATCGTCTCGTGATCGAATTCCTGATTCGCTTGGATAAGACTTTCAACGAGCGAATGGAGTTTCACCGTAATCTCATAGAGATAGTACAACCAATTGCTGCAGCTAGAAAAGTCCCAAAATCTTCTTCGTGGGGGCACCAACGCTGATGGGGCATCCTCATTCGTTAGTTAGCGCAGATTTGGCCGAATGACGGGAAGCTGACCAGCGAACAATGGTCCCCAGGTTTCCACAACAGCCGAAATCTGGAGTAGACAAACTTTGCTGACTGCTGGGGCCTGGGGGAGAGCATTTTCAGTCACGGATTCCCTGGAAAATTGACATCTGCAAGGCTGGGGAAAAGAAAAGATGCAACTGCGCAACATTCGCTCAATTCATGCCCATGGACGACTAACCTCTCGCGAGACACTCGGGGTACAGAGGTTGCCAGGGAGTCGCTTAGAGAGGGCTGTTTCAAATCCCAGAGACATCTGGCTCATCTCACTTTTCAGGAATCAAATCTGAGATCATGCACGCGCTTGGATATTCATGGTGTGTGTGCAGGGATCTTGTTTTGAGCTGAAGCATTTCACCCCCTCCTTACTAACACTATTTTGGAAAACCTTTTGCTGATCTGCCTGTTCAATGGGGCCTGCGGACTGCAGAAAATATTGTGCGAAGTCGGAACTTTGCCATTGCTCTCTTTCTTCACAAAATGGAGACACGGCTGGAAAGGCTTGGAAGTCATGGCACTAACGTGCAATCATTTTATGAGCAATTGAATGACGATTTGCGGCTTGAAGGAGTTAGGCTGTCGACTATTTCTTCAGAACTATTATCG